GCTTTGACCTCTTTGGTGTGACCTCCTGCGGCTTGCAGAATGCCGCCAACATGCTTGTATTTGGCGACAAGACGGAGCCTGGCCTCAGGCCAGACATCGGAGTGCAGCTGCAGGGAAGGGTCGCTGCCACAAAAGATCTCTTTGCGAAGGGCTTTGGACCGCGGTCCGTTGAGACAGACAAGCGCTTCGGTTTTTCCCGCAGCAAGATTCGGGAGAAGGGTTGCCTGCACGCACTCGGTAATAACAGCGGTGGCAATGGTAGTGGTTTTCTCTACTAAAATGTCTGGAGTGCTGCCTGCGACGAGGAGACAAAGATCATCCATCCAAGTCACGTCTAGTGGTCGGGACGTGGCGTCTGCAGGCTCGAGAGCGGCAGCCTCGGGAGAGGCGCATAACCAAGCGTCACACCACGGCAGGCACAAGCTGACATCTTCCCTTGCGAACCTGTCACGAAGCTTGTCGAGGATGCACGCGAAGAGAAACGAAAAGACGACATCCGCAAGGTTGTCTCCTGGGCGTGTGCCCGAATTCACGACCGCTGTCCCTTCAAGCCGCCCGTATGAAAACCACGTGCTGGTGCTGAACTCCCGAAGAATCTCGGAGGTCCACTGGGACGCCCCTGCAGCCTGGATGACAGAACTATCCCTGACATAGGCCTGGAGTCGGGGAAGGACACTGTCGTCAAGTCCAAGTTCTCTCACTACCCCATCGAGCTGTTGCTGGCAAACTGCTCCTCCGTGCACGAGCTGCCTTGCGACACGGTGGAATGCCTCACGCAAAATCAAAAAGATTAATGCGTGTGAAAGTCGCCGGCTGTGGCAGGCTTGCTGGAAAAGGCGCGCGGCCTGGATCGCAACCTGGACTGGGAATCCTACCCGGCCCCCAATTTGTAGAGGTGCAGCAATGGCGTCGAGGACGGGACCAAGTTGTTTGCGGGGGGAGCCATGGACGGCCTTGCCTAGAACCGAACTAACTAAGATCCCTCTATAGTGCTTGCATTCGGTGATGGCACCCTTGCGCTTCCAGATCTGTCGCATGTCCCCTCCTTTCCACTGAAGCGGCTCGGTTAGTCGCATGGAACTCTTGAGCACTAATTGCACAATGGACTGTGAGAGGGCGGCGGCAAAGGTATGAAGGAGCTCGGTCGGGACGTTATCCTTGCCGGCGGCCCTCCCACATTGAGAGGAACACATGCCACCTTCAAGTTGCGTGCGACTCGGCAGGTCCCCGATGGCGATGTCGGCGTCAGGTACGGCTTGGTCAGCCTGTCTCTGAAAGCAGGCTTCGGCAATGCTGATGGCATCAGCAGGTCCTCCAGCCTCAATAGAGCTGAAATGACGTATCCAACGGGCTTCCGCAGCGGCGACATCAGGTGCAGTGCTGCCATCTTCTAGGAGGATGGCAGGTAGTGCTTGAGTGCCTCGCTGTTTCCGTCGCGGCGGGCCAAGGAGTGGGCGGAGTCGGTCGGAGACGCAGCGAGAGGAGGACCGGGAGGCCTCTTCAGCTACGCCGTGCAGATATTCGGCTTTGTCCCTGTATATCGATCGTCTGAGGAGTGGCTTCAGTGCTTTGTGATCGGCGATGGCAACCGTCACATGCTTTGTCACCTGGATGGCCGTGGCAAGCGCACAAACGCCGGATTCTGCAAGCCCGAAGTCAAATTGCCATGCCTTAAATGCCCAGGCAAGATCGGCCTTGGATGTCCACGCGATGCCTTGGTGGATGCGCTTTCGCAAGGAGACCCGCTGCTGCCGAAGGGTCCAAGTTGTGTCGGAGAAGAAGGGCTGCTTCTTAATCTTGGCAGGGCGAGGAAAGGCCTTGGCAAGGTTTGTGGTAAGGTGCCGCGTGATGATGTCACAGTGTGTGTGCGCATCGGTGGTCCATGGGACATCAGGCACTGACTCACAAATTGCCCGCACAGTAGGTGCTGCCTCGGGTTCTCGAATCTTTTTGACGTCAATGGCTTGGCGGGGGAATCTGGGGCCCTTGCGGCCTCGCACGTTGACAGTTAAGTCAAGTCTTACAGCGAAGTGGTCTACTCCAGTCTGCCCAAAGTCTACGTCATGGAGTACAGTCGAAGATGCTGGCAGCGCCGGCCATTCCTCAGGGATGAGGATGAAGTCAATCCGTGAGGTGGCTCCCTGACCTGGGGAGGCCCATGTAAAGGACAAGCCGCTGTGACAGGCCTCATGGGTTGATGGCACCCACAAACGCAGGGAGTGGAGCAATCTTTCAAGATGTGCGGGGAGTTCAGGCCCACTCTCCCAACACAAGCTCCCAACGTGCGGTGGCCATGGCTTGGTCAACCTTGTGTTGAGGTCTCCAAGGACTATAACATGGTCATTGCGTGCATGTTGGATCAATTGATCGGCAAATGTTTTCCACCATGCAGGCCTCTGAGGATCGGCGGCTGTGGGGGCGTGGCACACAGCAAAGAGGATGCGCACGCCACTGCCATCGAAACGGACAAGAAGGTGTCTCGGCGACCACCCGATTACTCGAAAATTGTCAAGCTGTGCGGCGACTGGAGTGTTCCCCTGCCACATCAGAGGGTGCTGCCTGGATATCCAGAGCTCGACACCCAGATTGCCTCTGGTGTCTGAAGAGGATACGAAACGATAGTGAGTTTCTGATGTGATTGTCTCGGTGCGCCTGGCTCTGGTTTCTTGGAGCCCAATGACATTGGCCTCGAGCTCATCAAGTTGATGTCGCACGAAAGGGACTCTGCCGGGGTCGCCCTTGGCACTGTCCTCAGCAAGAGTTTGGACGTTGACTGAAACAAGTCGCAGGTAGAGCGTGGAAGTCCGGGGCTCAGGCAGGCTGTGTGGGCTCGGAGCTAGGTTAAGAAACCTTCGGTGTGGTTGTGGCAGGCTGAGCTCAACGCGTGAGCTGTCAACAAACGAGTTGCCCTCTAACTGTGGCCACAAGCCGGGCTGACGGACAGAAGCAAAGTACATCCACAACCAATCAATGGACCTGTCTGCCGTCCAGTGTGTGATGGCGGCAACGCTCAATGGGACGGCAGTGTCAGGGAGATGCCTGGCCTTTGCAAGTACGTCAACTAGTTCATTCCACTTTTGTCCTTTGTGTGCGCGCACATGGCCGTAGTGGTGGTGGGGTAGTCGTCCCGCTGCCTCAACAGCCTGCGTAAGAGCCCGGCAATTCTGTGCAAGTGGGGATGCATTGTGTCCTCCACATCCTCCATTTGCCTGGCCGAGTGCGGCGGTGTTGTCTCCCCAAACATAAGTGACAAACCCCCCTGAATGTTGAAGGGCCCACGCCGTAGCCCAGAACAAAGCACTGCGCTCAGCCTCAAGAGCGGAGTGTTGAGTAGCACCGGCAAACAGGGGTTCTCCCCAGGTGGCAACTCTGCCTCTTGCCCACCCGAGTAGGCTCTCACCATCGGCACTGCATCCTATAACAACAAATGCCCAGGAGCTGATGTCCCCGTCATATGAACCGTCCGTATAGACAGCAATCGATTCGATGGGGGTGGTTGCGCTGGGAGCCGACAGGGCAGCACTGGTTGAGGGGTGCAGTTGCAGTCCGGGAGGGAGATCCGATGGGAGATCCCAACATTGGTTGAGCAGTGCAAGGGCCTGATCAAGGGTTTTCCCAATGGCAAGGGTGGCTCTGGTCAGGTCAACATGGCTGTGCCGAGGGAGTGCGTCAAAGAGCGACACTGTCCTTTCACTAGGACTGGGTGCAGCAGGTGACGGAGGGCACACCCCATGGTGCACATGGTCAAGGTGGCTTATGTCGCGCACTTCCGCTCTAATACGGGTCTCCTGGAGGGCGTGACTCGCCTTATCTTTGACAACATCCCTGGGCAAGGCAGTTCCGGCATCTTCATCTTGTTCCAGGATGTCATGTGGCACGGGGTAGCTGGGAGGACGGTGAAGCAGGCTCTGGCCAGCAGGACCACCATGTCGGTCGTGATCTTGTCGCGGTGGTGGTTCGCGTTGGTTCCCTTCGGAGCCGTAGTGGCGACTCCCAACGGTTTGGCAGGTCGCTTGGCCAAGCGAGATTGCACGACAAGGCGTGGGAATCGCTCGAGGCCTTGGTAGGTGAAGAGCCTGATCAGCGCTGGCAGATCCAATTCCTCGGCCAAGTACATGGGGCAAG